ATTTTTCTGCTGATTGTGGTCCAAGCCTCAGAATGAGCCTTTTACATCCAGATGAGAGCTAGCAGCCAAAAGCTGAGTCCTTCAGCTGCATCTGGCTAACCTCACCAGACAATTCAATCGCACTGAAAGAGTGAGGAGAATCTCTGAGATATCAGGGAATTAGGAACTAAGCAGACCAACATATCATATTGCACAGGTTTGCACACAGACAGTACTTAAAAGAAATGGCTTGAAGCGGCGTAACAAAAAACTGCAAAGACCGTGTAGGGAACAAGATGCACTTCAACACCAATCTGTTTCATGGGCACATTTTAAGATTCTTTCTTTTTTATGAGGACACGTCTGGGCTTCAATGCAAAAAATATGATAAAGTTTTGAAGATCTATCTTCCTATCCTTTGTGAGCCTAATTATCAAGTTTTCCTCCTTTTGGTAGTTTTACGTGTGGAAATTATATTGACTGTCAATATGCCAGAAATACAAAAGGCTATCTTTCTCTGGAAATGAAAGATAATCAAGTTTTATCACCCAGAAAATAAGAAGTACATTCACTATTTCTTATCCCGGTGATAAAAGTTTACACAGAGTGAGTAAAAGGATTAGTGGAACTTTATAATTTTGCACTGTTCTTTGGTGTAAGCTACTTTAAAGCCCCTGTGTGTAGTCGCTTGTATCACTGTACTGTAGCATCTGTCGAATTATTATGATGGGATAAGTTTTGGGGAATATTTTTGTCGAAAAATTTGACAAACCCTCTGACAATTGGCCCAGTCTAACTATGTGTATGTGCGTGCTTTACTCCCAGTGTCCTCAGGTTGGATTCAAGTTTGCAACAGTGTCTTTTTTGGTACTACAACTTGAGGTCACCAAAGTCAGAAAATTACAAACTGCACACATGCAGTATGGGTTTTAAAGCAGCCATAACTGACATTTTATAAAGACAAATGACAATGTGTAATGTAGAGAAGCTTTGCAAGTAGTTATGAACCTACAGAGAAGCATCACCTGAATCTGCAGCTCTTCTTGGCATTATAGATCTTAATAGCCAGTTTCAGCTCATTGTTTAGCTGTCCGGCATGACACTGTGTTAACTATGTCATGAAAACTGACATAAGTTAAGCTTTAGAAATGCTCTGTACATAATTATTTTAAACATTTTGTATAATTTAATTTTCCTTTCCTCAAAAATGGCCAATTGTTTCTCTCCTCTTCCCCATAGTCTTGTTTTGTACTAGTGTTAGTGGTACCTGATTCATACAATAAAATTGTAGGTTGTATTTTAAAGTCAGTGTACAGTTTCATGCATAACCCTTCAATTAAAGTTTACAGATTGTTGTAATTATTTGTAACAGGTTTAAATAACATACACACTCTGAAGTCCATGAAAGAAAGACGCACCAATACCTACACTAACGACACACACACACATCACACACATAAGGTCTATGAGGAAGAGTGTGAGTGCATTCCCATGTCTTTTTGGCCGGTGCATTGTGTGTGTTTAATTCCAAACGACAGACAGCCTGAGAAGAGGGGATGCAGGGACACACATCCGCACATAACAGCACAGCAACATTCACTGTTCAACAGCTTAGAGTGCAATGACACACACCTGCAAAAACACACACCTGCACACAGAGTTTCTTCTCGCCTGGACGTATTAGGAATGCAGACAGTGTCACAGGAGCAGGGCAGGGCGCTGAGTAGCTTAATACAACCTAATGTATCCTGGCACATTAGCCTTTTCTTGGATTGAGCATCCTCACTCATCGAGACCCACTTTACCAAGCTACCATTTAACCAGCCTCGCACACACAGTTGCATCCAGGCATAAAAGCACACACATACACTTCACTGTGTGCCCAAGCGCTCAGAAGGTAGTCATCCATAAATGTATCAGTTCACAATCAATAGGCAAAACACATTTCTTTCAGATGAAAAATCACAAATGTACAGATTGAAATGAAAGACAGAAAAACTCCTCCCTCCTCCAGCTGGCCTCCTCCTCCTCTTCTGCTCTTTCTTTCCTCCTTTTCTTTCTTTCTGTCTTGTTTCACTCTCATTTCATGCATTCTCATTATCCCTCTCTCGGTCTCCCTCTGTCCCCCTCCACTCCCCTTCTTTCTCGTTCTTTTGTCCTCATTTTGCACGTATCTCCATTTCTCCCCTACCTTTTCTCTCTGTCTCCCTCCCTTCTGTTCTTTCCTTTCAGCCCTTTTATTCTCATTCTGTGCATCTCTCCCTCTGTTTCTCTCTCTGCCTTTCCCCTTTAGTTGTTAATCAGAGTTGATTGGGAGCAGAGAGAGCCGAGAGGAGCTCCCCAGTGGATCAATGCCTCTAAATGATCTGTTCAAGGATCCCTTTAGAACCTGCAAAACTCGCTCTGATAGGGCACCGAAGCATGAAGGCACTCATTTCACATCTAACTCACTTCCTGATTTGCCCTCTGGGAGAGAGATAGGACTGCCGTTATAGGGATAATTTGTCCCAAAGCTAAATATCCCACTAACCAAAAGTGCTTAGACCAAAATGTCTTCATTCCAGGCAATCAATTACTGCCAAGGTGAGGGGGAAAATGATGAATTTGTTTAAAAAGCTTAATCTGTGTGTGTGCGTCAAGATTGCCCGACAACTGGGTTTGTTTATGCTCTTTTGATTGAAGACATTTTCCTGCGTCTCAAATTTACTGAGCTTCGAAAAACAAGATTTGATAACGTGCGGCAGCTGAATTTTAAATGTATTTGCCGTGGTACATTTTGAAATTAAATTGATCGTAGCCATGGTGATGTTAATGACGAGTATCAGACGAAGAGGCTGCCGCAGACACAGACATGTGCACATGCCCACAAAGAGATTTAATATTACACTTCGATATCACACTGATGAATTTTAAACAGCCTTTGAAATGTTAGATGGTTCACTGAAGAATGTTTCAAAGTTAAACTTGAATCTTGTGACTGTGGGTTGTTAAAGATGCTAAAACAAACAGATTATCAAGTCATACCCTTGGGACATATTATTTGATGGATGCTGGTAAATAAAATATCAGAACTTTCAAAAATGTAAAAAAAACCACAAAAAAAAACCGGATGTATTGTAATTTCTCTCAGAAGTGTGCTGATATGAAAACAAAACTGATATATGAAACAAAATGTGTTTTTATTTTAAGAGTTGTGAATAATCAAATAGCCTACTATACATTTTTGAGTACTGATTTTGCATTAGATGAAATATTAATTGATCAGTAGCCTTTAAGAACTTTTGCTAATAAATGGCATACATGCAATTCTCCAGTATAGTAAGCTACGACTGTTTTTCAAGGGTAAGTTGGTTGATATGCTATTATTTTCTTATTGTCAACAAATCCTGTGGTAAAATCAAAACCAATAATGAATTGATTCTTCTAACAAGTATTGTTCCCTAAAGGCAGATACAATATAACAGTAGTCTATTCTTTTGTGTCACAGACATTCCTGTTGTCCAAATGATTAAAAACACATAAATGAGCCACTCTGTTGGCAATGGGTGACATGTTCCTTCATAACCATAAACCTGGGCACTGTAGCTTAATTTTGAGTTTATTTAAATTCACTACCCTGCTGCCGTTACACTCACTAGAGCACCAAATGTGTTTTAACCTACAGCTGAAAATAACACTCGCTAAACCAGCCGTTTTGAGAAACTGTTTTGCCTTTTTTAAAGATGAAAGTGTACATTCGTTTTTAAAGATTTATGTCCTCAGAGCGAACGAGAGAGCCTCAGATAAGATGGGGCAGTCATAAAGTACAGCAAGACCAGCTGCATATTGTTAGTTGTGGTCTGTTAATGGCATTTGTTGACAATAACAAAAATATAGAATATCTGCAGCTTTATCCTTTGAGAGAGACTGTTTCATTCCAGTGACTTCATGATTGTAAACAGAAGTTCAGTTCCCATATAAGCAACATTGGCACCAAAAAATAAACACAAATAGATCCTGTATTGTGCAGGGGGTGAAAATGCAGCCATATGTTTTTAATGTATTATAAGTGCTTTGCAGAGATTGTTGAAAAGGGGATTCAACATCTGAGTTCACGCACCATGTGATGTATTTCCATATGTTACCTACAATTATTTCCAAAGCTCTTTGACTTTTGGCCAGAAGGAGGTATATTGCAAGGAAAATTACCACAATATATACCCTATACAGTGTGGGTATATACTAATATATCTTCAACCTCTGACCCACTTCTATTCATCATGTCAATCTCAGTGATCCGTATGTGTACCGAACTAAGCGGACATTCACCACAGCCGCCTCTATGCACTGCTTTAGGGGGTGGTATAATAATGTGTGCTCTTTACCATCACGTGACCCACTTCTCTGGAGTATCACACAAGAAGGCTCATTCAAGCACTCTGTCTAGAAAAAGACTACCAAACATGCTAATAAAATTCCCATAAGCATAGCTTGCCGACCATTATTAAGATAAAACTGGTTACTATGCAAACATCTGCTGTAACCAGAGGGATTATTATCGATTTTTCTGGCCTTGTCTTGTTTATTAAATAAGTTAAAAAAAACACCCTCTAGGATGTTTATGCTGCAAACCGCCATGACTCAGGTGGTTTGAAGACCCTCTATCAGAAAACATTTGTTCAAGCGTCCTTGAGCAACTTGTGGAGTCTCAAAGGGTTGCTCTTTTGTAGACTATGACCTCGGTTCTTGTTGTAGAAATGTGCAAACACAAAAAGGTCCTAAAAGCGATCATACAATTTCATATTATAGCAGTACACAGCATGACTGTATCAAGTGCTGCCCAATCATACAGAAATCCAATAAAGGTGGTAAATATTCATAGTATTGTAGAAGATGTACAGGGGTTTTTTTCTCAAAATATGTGCCTCATGCTGTTTTATTTTACCTCATAAAACTATTCCTGAAGCCTTTTCATCTCTGCCCACTGATTATTTTTTATAAATGAAGAAATTTTAATGAACTCTTCCTTGTGTGTCTTGCAGGTTCTGGCACGGAGAGTACAGGGTGGCAGTGAACATTAATGACTATCTGGACATCTACTGTCCTTACTACGAGGGTCCTCCATCCCACGGGCGCATGGAGCGCTACATCCTGTTCATGGTCAACCACGAGGGCTACACTTCCTGCCAGCACAGGATGCGTGGCTTCAAGCGCTGGGAGTGCAACCGTCCCAGTGGTCCTGATGGACCCCTGCGCTTCTCAGAGAAGTTCCAGCTCTTCACCCCCTTCTCCCTGGGCTTTGAGTTCAGGCCTGGACATGAGTACTACTACATCTGTGGGTTATCAGCTAGGCAGTGTGTGTTTCTGTGTGAGATTGCATGTGCAGGTAAAGGGTGTTTGTCTGTTTGTTGTGTGCATGAGAGCGTGCGTGTGCCTGTGTTTGCCGGTTAGCTTCTGTTCAATATGCATTCGTAAACGATATGTAAATATGCAATCAACAGAAGTTGATTGAGAGAGTTCTCAAACACAGCCCACTATGTCGCTCGCACCCACAAGCGTGCATAAAATGCACCTTCCATATATCTTTTGCTCCCCCTACTCTCTCTCTCTCTCACTCTCTTTATTTCTTCATGTAGCTCTCTGCTTCTGTTCAGATCATAAGTGGTGTGCTCAGCAAAGTGGTAAAAATGTCACCAGGCGTAGTTGGTAATCATTTTTATATTAGCTGTATTGATGTTTCTCCTCACTTCAACAAGTGATATATTAGTATCACAGATGGGCCTTGCCCCCTGAGACTGTTTTTCTGAACAGAGTTAAAAAGCTATCATTCCCCCAGCAGGCATGGGACAAATAGTAGCTTCAAATTACTCTTAAACATTGTTTTCGGCTGCTCGGTGTACCAGATGGGTGGGATAGATTTACCGCATCCGGACAGTTAAGAACAAGATCAGTGGGTAATCAAAGAAAAGGACATTAAATTGACTTTCAAAAGCTTTCCTGTCAATGTCCAAACTTTTTGGTTCCACACAGACAAGTGCCACTTTTTCTGTGCGGAGGCTGCAAGAGCTGCTAGGCTTCTGACAAGACATTTGCCTGTTTGAATCCACAGACCAGCTGGGAAAATATGTAGAAAGAAAATGATTCTTCTGAGAGAGGACAGTCATAATTCACACAGTCACAAGAGGTCACTTGTCAGGAAAATGTATGCATAGATTGTTTGAACAAACAGTCTCGAGCTGCCATTTGGTGACCAGTTGAAGGGTGCAAACTCAGCAACACATTCTCAGATAAATTGTGAATAGTGTGATAGTGGGAAATTACCTTGCAAAAACTAATTCCTTTTGTTATGACTAATTTAACCATTTATTTATTATTTTAATGAAACATATTTAATTAGTATTTTACTTCTATTGTGTTCCTCTTTTAAAGACATACCACATCTTACATTGGTGTTTAGAATTTGTGAGAAAGTCAGACTACTATGCAGCCTGGCTCAGGTCTCTTTATTTCTTTGCGGCACAGTTGGCTGGAAACTGACCTTAACCTTTTTCAGTAGATGATGCATTCTCACTGTGACCCATAATGGGACGAGGGTCCTCTGCCACTATTTTCATGTCAGCATGCAGGTGCGACATATTTCTTTGTCAAGGTTTTTGCCCTTGGACTGTTTCTGACCTTACAGTGATAGTCTTCTCGTTTAGACAGCAGAAGGAAAGAAGCAAAAAAATAACCTTGACTAAAAGGTTTAAATCCAGTTTGTTACATTACATTAATGTGTTCGGATTTTATTTCTAATAACGCAATTTTGTAAACTCATGTAATCACAGGAAAACTACAATGGGCTGAACTACTGAATTAATGTTGAAGATAGAAGATTAAAATTACCTACAACACCATTTGTCTAAAGAATAACTTCAGTACTAAGTATTTGCAAATATTCATTTGCCCCAGTCTGTTGTCTGCACTGTCACAAAGACACAGCAGGCGAGAGTACGAGAGCTAAAGAGGCGAAGATAACAGCCACCCGATGTCCTACTGCACTTTTCCCAGTCAGCACACACACACACACACACACACACACACACGCACACACACACAAACACACATTCTTTTGTTTTCAATCTCATGTAAGGATGGACAGGGCCCCTCCAGAGTTGTATAGTTGCTGACTATAGTATTGTGTTTCTGGGACCCCTGAGGCTAGTGTGTATTCCACGAGATTGGAGTGTGTGCGTTTGTGTGTGTGTGTTGTGGGGGTGGGGTGGGGTGGGGGGGCCGGTTGTGGGGTCAGTTGTCAAACGATTGTGAGTCCGTGAAAGGCCATGTCCATCATCTTGACTGACAACCACACACGTTTTTGTTTCTCACTGCCAGTCACATGCGCATACAAACACACACACATGGTCACACACACACACCGGTCAGTATTGATGTGGAATGAAGGCATGTTGATGGTTTTAACCAACCAGCCCTTCCGATGAGTTTGTGTTTGTGTGTGTGTTATGGTGTGTGTGTGTGTGTGTGTGTGTTATGGTGTGTGTGTGTGTGTGTGTGTGTGTGTGTGTGTGTGTCCCCTTTTCGCAGTTATGCCACAAAGTAAAACACATCGATCTTTGATGGCAATCTGTGGCCAGACCTGTGTGAGTGTGCGCCCATGTGTGCACGTTGGTGTGTGTATTTGTCATGTGGTTGACATGTTGACAGGTCTGCTCCACCCCTTACTTCTCCCAGCTGCCATCTGATGAGGTTGAGTGATTTTGAATGGGTTTTCAGGAGACGCTGGATTGTGGATGTGCTGGGAAACAGAGGTGCTGGAAGAGCTGATAAGACTTTTAAAAAATGACAAAAGTGAACATTTTCAGAGGGCACGGAGAAAAAGAATGGGGGGAGGTATGTATCTATCCACTTCTTGCCCCTTCTCCCCAAAATGTTGCCATTTGTCAGTGAAACAGTAGGGAACACAAAACAAAGACATACAACAGGAGAGAAAGCTCGATACAAAGCTGGCGGGGCTTCATAGGGGACCACTATGGCACTGTGAGGAAGATATGTGGATGATTTGAAGAAATTTGAGGCAAAGGAAGAGGGCTATAGGGAAGCCATAAAAGGGTAAAGGAGGTGAAGGGCAGAGAGGAGGATGGAGGGAGGAGTTGTGGGCAGAAAGAGAGGGAGGAGAGGCCAAAGGAAGGGTCAGATTTATTTCCTGTGCGCTGTGGATCTTGATGATGGTCCTCTTTAGGGTCACTGTGGGCTCTGGCTATGCGGATTTCCTCAAGGGAGAAGGCCAATAGGTCTTCATGCACGCTTCTGCAAGCACCAGTGTGTGTGCACATTCCTTTTTGCAACATCCTCGTATGCATGTGGGTGTGCACGCATGTCTGCATGCGTGAGCGGTCAGAGAGTTGTCATCATCTCCTCTAAGGTCTCCAGCTCTATTTCACATCAGAGTGAGGTGGGACTAAAAACCCAGATTCAATTTCATTTACTCTACTTTGAAGTTTGAATCATTGGAACTTTTTAACATTTTCCTCATTTTTTTTTTTGGCATTCAGCCAGGGCGGCACGGTGGCTCAGTGGTTAGCACTGTCACCTCGCGGCAAGAGGGACCTGCGTCTGTGGGGAATTTGCATGGATTTCCTTCTTCTTTCCAAAGACATTCAAGTCAGGTCGATTTGAGAGCCGGTATTTCCCTTAGGTATGAATGTGAGTGTGACTGAATCCCAGTGTGCGGACCAAATCCCTCACAGACTTGTTTATATTGCCTGAAGTGCTCACTATGTTTACAGGAGTTCACAAGCTAAGGAGCATGGGTTTAAGAGAACTTAAAAGGACATAATATAAGAAACCCTCCAACTGCCTCAAGCAATAAATTTCATCAAGAAAGTAATAAGCTGCATTAATGACTACATTACTGTCGAATTATAACAAATTACTAAGTGTTAACTTGCATAAAAAATAACATTCCTTGCTTTACAATGCCTTCCGTTGATTTACCGTCTCTGACATATTTGTTTGAAGCTAATTACAGTTTTGTAGGTGTGTTTTACTTTGCTGTAACAACTGCTCAGTGAACAAGAATAAATGTCTACAAAAGTCTGCATATTCATGTAAAAAAAAATCAGCATTAAATCCCTCGCAGACACGCTAGTTTCCGGCAAAGGACAGTCCTAAGCCCTGCCCCAGTGAACAAAGTCTTAATTATTTCCTCCATATCTGTGTATTACCTTGTTATGAATTGTCTGCCCCATCCCATTAATATGTGTGGTGACTTAAAATGACTTGGGGCAGCATTGTGGAGGTTTGGTGTCATTCTGTTGTGGGGATCCAACCTGTGACCCTCGCTGAAAGCCCCAGGTTCACTGTTGTCAGTTTAAATATTGGTAAATTTGTTTGAGAACAGGTGCCACTGAATTACAATATCAGCTGAACGGATGAAGGCATTTAGCCAAAACCAACAATGTGTTAGTCTGTCTCTCAATACTTTCTACTCTGCTACCCTGTCTGAATCAGTCCCAAAACCGTTTGTTCCTACTGCAGACATAAATCTTTAAAAAAACAGGTCACAAATCAATAATTTTGTCTTTAAAAAGAACATAGGTATTTGTCTAAACTGCTGGGCACTGTAGTTTTTAGCAAGTGTTGCTCAAACTGGAGTAAATATTGCATTTGTTGGGGACTAGTTTCTGTTGTGGATCAATACACAATTCAGTGTTTGTCCTTTTGTGGGATTTGTTGACTGCAAGAATATATAGAATATCACCAGTTGTATCTTTTTTAATGATGAAGCCTTGTCTTATTGTTTATATGGCACATATCACTATGTGTGTGTGTTGTGTGTGTGTGTGTGTGTGTGTGTGTGTGTGTGTGTGTGTGTGTGTGTTTAGTTTGTTTACGCAAAGACAACAGTAATGCAGAGAGAGGATGGGCTGCAGGGGTTAATAGCACATTTCATTTTTGCCCCAGGGCCATAGTTACTGTACTGTCTCTGTGAACTCCCAGTCTAACCAACCACCTGATAATAGGCTTCACAGCACTCTGAGACAGAACAACATTTTAAAAAAAACAGCGTTTATTAAATGTTTTCAATTACTTTATGAGTGCGATCAGCAGCACAAATCGCTTTATCTCTCAGCTAATCTCCTCTTTCAATCTCTCTGCTTTTTTTGCAGCGTCTCCTCACCCAAACCATGTGGGGAGAGCATGTCTAAAGCTGAAGGTGTATGTCAGACCTCCAGGTAAGTCACGCTCTAACTACACACACACACACACACACACACACACACACAAAGGTCCAGATTGGCTATCAAAGTAAAATTAGGGGGGAATAAGAGGTCTGATAGAATGCCCCGGCAACACTCTCTGCTCTGATTCACAGACCGACCAGGCAACACTTTAACACCTTTACACACAGACACACACTGAAAAAACACACACACACACACACACACACACTCACATTCTGACGCATTCACACAGACAGGGGGAAGCGCGTGCATGCACACAAGCACAAAGTGGCATACGCACTTCACATCAAATCACATCACATCACACTGGGTGTGAGGGAGACCTTCTGTCCTTGCAGAAAGAGAACAGAGCAGGCTGAAAGTGCTCTCTAAAAATGTTACCAAGCCTCCACATCACTCCGCTAGCTAGATTTGCTCATAAGAAACGAGAGAGCTATCTAATAATAAACCCATTGCATACTGTAGAAGTCTAATCTAATAATAGACACTTCATATTTTCTAATAAAATTCTCCTAATGCATCAGCCTTTTGGTAAAAGATGAAGCATGACTTGCTCGCCACATAATACTGTGTCTTTGTTTCCAAACAGCATGCGGCCTAGTAAGATATCCCTTTTTGAAAATAGCTGCTTCATATATATTAGCGTAGACCGGGCGCAGTGCTCACACAAGTGTGGCATGCTGGCCTATGATATTGCCGTTTAAAAATAACTTAACAAAAGATTGGCACAATCACGGGGTTCGGATTGCGGCAGGCATTACACTCCACTTGCGTTATCTTTAAAAGAAATCTACCTGTACGTCCCTTCAAAGGCGGATTCTACCTCATGAGTTTTCAACCTAAGCCCGACTAAAGAATCAAAACCTGGGTAGTAGCACATCTCCCCAGATAATGACACGGCTTTGAAGATCTTCGTAAAAAGGATGAGAGTCGGCATTCGCAGCTTTCCAGGCTCAGATCATTCCATATCTCGCTAAGGGGAAGGAAATTCTCTCCTCCTCCATAATTACTGAAACAACATACATTCTTTTATTCTGTCATTGCTGCAGCTCTTCTTAAAGATTCTTCTTTTTTTGTGCTGTTAAAGTAATCTGTCTGACATTGCAACTTCCATCTCATCTGTGAAATATTGTCACTAGAGTGAGCTGTGAGCGGTTGCACATGTGTGTGAGTGGATGTGAGTCTTTTTTCTGTGTGTGTGTGTGTGTGTGTGTGTGTGTGTGTGTGTGTGTCAGCTGCTCCAGATTCCGAGTCTCTGTGATTAAACTGTAATTAGGTTGGTTAAACCCCCTGCAGAGCTCAGTTGCTGTCGTCTTCTCCTCCTCCCTCCTTCCTCTCCTCATCCCTTTCTGACGCCTTCTCTCTGCCTTTCCTTGGCTTCTGAAGGGTGCGAGTTTTGTGGTTTGTCATTCGTTTCCACATCCCCCCTTAATAGTTCCTTGTGTCTACCGTTTGTCATTTTTCAAATTCATTCACTTGTTTGAGATTGTGTTGTCTTTGTATCTGTCTGTGTGTCCCTCTCAGTTCAGATGTTTTGTCGTTTTTCTTTTCTCTCTTCTTTCCGTTTCAGATGGGTCGGGATACGATTCTCCAGAGCCCTTCCTGACTGATGGAGGTCCAAGGTGGAGGCCAGGGTCCATGGCCCTGTTAGTTGCTCTGGCCTCACTGCTCCTGGGACTCTTCTCCTGGCTGTGACCCCTCTCCTTCTTTTCCTGGAGCTCCCACCCAGGGTCGCTGGGCTGGGCTGGCTGTCCCTCTAAATCCACCACCCCTCAGGGAAGCCCTCTGTCTCCGTCCTCCCCTCTCCCACCTCCACCTCTATACGACCACCAACCACCCCCACTGCCAGCTCCTTCCATGGCCCAGCCACAGACACCCTTCCCAGGCCTGGCAGAGAGGGTTGGGTCTTATGATGTCTGGGAAGCAGCCCTTCATCTCTGATCCCCAAACTCTTGGTGGAACAGCACCTCTCAGCTGAAAAACACAAGGGAAATGTCTCTGCACTCATATCAGGGGGTCCTTTTGATTTGACTATTGACTCTTGGCCACTGATGGGGTAGATGTAGTCGCGGCTATGATTAAACTTGTCGTTCCAGTGCAATTCCTATCATCCAATCACGGCAGGATGCATTAAGCGATAGGCCTGGATGCACAAAAATTGGATTTTTCTCACATTGCTGTCCCATCGTCAAACCAAGAATTGGAAGTGGCCAAGCTTGCATTGTAATTGAAATTCTATATTATCTGGACCAATTCCAACTGCAGCGAGAAAAGGAGCAAATGTATAAAGATGGAAAGGGGGAAAAGTGACCCGGCCTGTGCAGAAAAGAAAGGGAAAACAATGCGGACACAGTTTTAAATGAATACGGCCATATGGGAGATGTAATATTATATGTGTTGATATTTTCAGACCCAGTCTAAATTCGCAGCAATGTGATATAAAAATCATATAGTTAGATTATTTTTTTTTTTTTTATGAGAAGCTCAGATATCACATTATAATGACAAGTATAACCATAGCCTGTTTCAGTGGGAGGGTGGGGTGTGTGTGTTGGGGGAGGGGGTTCTGGGTGGGTTTGGTGAGGTGTATATTTTCAGGTGGGATGTGTTTTGTCTTATTCATGTTTCTAAACAAAGCATTTATCACAGCCTGGCCAGCACAGGCGTCTTCAGCACTGTCTAATGTCGATTGGGTCGGGTGACTTTTGGAACCATGACTTTCTCATGTATGAATGTACCACTGGTCACCCACCTCTTTGTCTTTCTGTATTATTATGACTGTGGTCACTTACAGTACCTTCTCTTGGACTGGCAGGATGAATGGGCCTGGGATTTTGGAGGGATGGTGTTGGGGGTGGGGGGGCAGGCATGCGGCGGGTGAAGTAAGAATGAACGCAGGACAGGTGAGAAAAGGAGGCGACACTCAAGTTGCATGACCACTGTGAAATCTTCAGATCAATCTCGTTTGTAATGATGATATATTTTTTCATGGGGAAAATCAGAAACACCCTGCTACCGCTCTCTTGCTCTCCCTGAGACTTTTTCAGACATCAAAAGGAAACTTCAACCTCTCTCCTCACGCAGTTTCTCCTGTCTGGCTTTCAGTCGTTGAAGGATTAGCTCGGGCCAGGAGATAAATGGACCCACAGGGTGAAACTGACTGGAAATCAGCCTTCAGAGCCCAGGCCGGATCACAATGGACGTAAACACTGACTGAAGCTGGTCTCGGGTCTGAGGGTTAAACCAATAAGGGAAGCGCATAGACTGTGGCAAATGAAGCGAGGTGTGTGTGTGGTAGCATCACAAAAAACACACATGCGCATGCACACACATACATACACACACATACACACACACACACACACACACACACACACAAACACACACACACACACACACACACACACACACACACACACACACACACACACACACACACACACACACACACACACACACACACACAGTCTTTGATAACGGTACTGTTCCTCTGAGCATTTATGGACATGACTATAAAGGGAACAGCACAAAGAGAGAGGGAGCAGAGGAGGGAGGGGGAGAAAAGTGTGTGTGCATCATGGGACTGAGACTTCTTTAATGTTGGGAAGTGAACATAATGAGTAAGCACTGTGAACACACACATGCATACACACATGACGACCCATGTACAGATACACACACACACACACACACACACACATACATACAGTACAGTACAGACATACAGTATGTAGAAAAGCACATGCAGATCTAGACATTGACAAAGACATAGCATGCACATACACACATGTACAAAGACACACACACACACACACACACACAAACAAGGGGAAGCACTTCCTTCCCTATTTCATCTTATTTTTGTAGCATTTAAAATCACTGTTAATTACTCCTGTGTGGGATGCAGTGATGGGGTATAGCCTGTGGAAGATTAAAAAAAAAATGTGTTTTCTCTTCTTCTATTCCACTGATGCTGTCCTTCTATCGTTCTTCTTCTCTGGTTTGTGATCCATGGTTGGTAGTGGTAGGATGCCTCCAGGTCTGAGCGTCATGTATGAGTTTGTCTCCTTTTCTGTTTGTGGTGTTTTTGTGGAAGCTGACCTCAGTCATTAAAGTCAGTCAGTCAAAAGTAAACACAGAAGTCAGAGCAAGGAGAGAAACACACAAATAAAGATTGTCTTTTTGTCTACTCGAAAAAAAAGGCCAAGTGAGTGGAATTTCTTCAGTGGAAATGTGAATTAATTTTCATTTTTCTCCCACAAAAGGGGCAGATGATTGTATTCATATATTAGACTGCACCTGGGTCTTTATTTTGCCCAGTCTATCTTCCTCTGACGTCAAAGTCTTGGGACGGTGAGCATTGAGCTCTGCCAGTCAAAGCATGAAATTATTCAGATGAAATCACCCTCTCCAATCTTCAGCTGTTTCTCCCTCAGCGATGTGACAGCTAATCTGAACTGCTGACAACATGGAGACTGAATAGCTTGATAGCTTTTCCTTTCTTGTTTTCATCAGATTTCAGTACAGGGTGGCCTGTATTTAAGTACAATTTTGAGGTACTTGTAATTTACTTGAGTATTTTCATGGTCTGCTACTTTATACTTCTACTCCACTACATTAAGTTACTTTTTCAGATTTTACTTAAAAACACACATGATATGTTTATAAAATCGCTGTTCAAGATTAACCAGTGGGCTCCAATGTTTTTGGATTGTGATCCCCAACATCAGTGGTGGGGCCCCTTGTCACATTTCAGATGTCACACATTTTTACACTTGACTGATGTTGAACAGTTGATATAGATAAAAAGAAAATGCAATGGGAACAGACTACATTTCTTTAATTAATACATGAAACTAACATAAAAGCCATATTTATAGTAGCGCTCTCTTTTCATTACACTACTCATTGCACCCTTTTCTTCTGCCAATGATCTTAAAGCAGCTAACTTCTAATATTCACATAAAATAAGTGGATGTAAATGCAAATTAAGTCGTATTTTCTGGACATTGGGTTAAACATTCGTGCTACGACAGAAACTTGTTTTAGAATTTCCACCAAAGAAAGATTATAAACCCAAAACTTATCACATTTCATTTAAATAACTGTTTGAGGCCCCAAAAAATAAATAAGCCATTATTTCATTAAAAAATATTACAGAAAAGTAAAAAAATAAATAAAATGCAAATTTGTGTTGCAGAGCTTTTCCTCTTTCTTACATCATTAATCATCTCACAACAATACAGATTTAACTTGTGAGGGCACAAGTTTGATCCCCACCATAACTATTAAAAAATATATCTATTAAAAGTCAGGTGTCCTTGCACAAGACATGGATGATAAATGCTGGTGATGCCTAAAGGCTAAACGTCTAAAAAAGTTGAATATGAAATGTTTCCTCTCCTCTTTGAGCTCAATAGGTTTTTCTCCAGATCCAGACATGAAGAGACGGATAGACAATAGACACTTCCCCCCATCGGGGCTTGTAAGGGCCAGTGCAAGCTTGAAACATTTATCAGCCCTGTTTTAAAAGCGTTATTTGAAACCACTGACTCGTCTCTTTTGGCAGCGTGATGCAAAAAGAATATCAGAAACATTGTTTTTGGGGAAAACTGAGGTACATGAATAATAGATGAGCCTTGGCTTGCCATGTTTGGCCCTCCTGTGCAAAGCGGGCTAATGGCTATCGATGTCTCTAGTTTCCATCAAATTGCTTCATATGAGAGCTCAATTCAAACTGAGAAAGAGTAGATTCCAGTGAAAAGGAGACGAGGGAATGAAATTATCTCTGAATATTGAGATGCACGCTTGGTCAGCCAATTCTTTGTCCTGACAAGTATCAGGTACCAGCGGAATTAGCCTAACGTAAAATTAAGCCTGATCAAGCAAGGCCCCGAGACCTTCCCATGTCTCAATCCTTGTGAGAGGAAAGATGGATGTGTGATACAGCTGGAACAGAGCCAGAGACGAACAGATGTGCTCCTTGAAATCATGAGAAACTGGTGATCTGGGCTATGTCACTAACACGCACATGCACACACTATTATATCCCCAAGTATTCTCTTCCAGATTTAATTAATCACTTGATTATTTCAGATATTTTCATTGGCTGCCGTTCATGTGGGACAATAATTGGCGAGAATAAATTTGGCCTGTATGATGTTGGGTCTGGCAACAACCAAAAAGGAGAACCAGGGAAATACAGATGGCAACCTTTCGCCATTCTTTTCCTCTTTTCTTGCTATGTCCTCTTCTGTTGATTTCTCGCTCTCGCAGACACATTAATAGGTTATAGGCTAATCCTTTCTCCTCTCTCCCCTGTACTTTTGTCTCCTCGTATTCAACTAACTGGCATGATTTAGGAATTATGGAATTAGGGCAGCGTTCCCATCTCTATTAATGAGGAACGGCATGATGAAAAAGCTTGATCCTGAACGTGCCATCTGTAGTCACTATTACACATTCACTTAATCTATCTCTCTTTCTCTCACTACTTTCTATTCTTCCTCCCCCTTCCCTTCCCCTTTCCGTCTCTCTCACACACACATCCCTATTTCAAACACACACTCATTATACCTTAGTTGTAATTACAGAGGAAATACTTATTCTAAGCTCTTCAAGCACTGTTGGATGTGGCGTGAAATAGTTAAATGGCACAGCAGGAAAGTTAACTATAGACCACACACCCATGCAAAGACACACAGGCATACAGGAGTCCAGATGGACCGTGTGTTATTGCTGAATAATGCATACTATGTAGACTCTATAAAAGATACATGGGGAAGGGGGAGCAGGGCACCATGCAGGCTCCGTGGGCAGTTCGGTGAGGGCAGCTCTGGAGCAACCCTTGTGCAAATTTGGAGATGTCACAAAATGTTCAGCTTGTAGGTGACCCAACAGGGGGAAATATTTAGCTGCAGTTAGAGAGGGGGGAAAAAAAAAAAAAAAGACACTTTGCCTTTTAGACATTGTCAGTTGATATGTTTGCTGGCACCCTGCCCAGTGTCTTTGCAGTCACCTTGAACAGGCTTTTTGTGGTTTAAACCATAAAACTTGGGGAATTACACAGCAGATTCAATGCTAGAGGCTCGGATTTCAGAGCATCTCTCAGAAACACTATGAAAAACATCCAGCAGTCTGTCTTCATGTAAAATACCGAGAAGGGTGGGGGGGATGAGGGGGCGAGGGGGAGGTCTTGGGTGAAGGGTAAATGCTGCACTCATGTGGGGGAAATGAGCAGCGTCTCTTTTTTTCTCTGGAGTCATATGACAGGACATGCGCACCAACATGTGCTGCGTTCGCGTGCTCGTCGAAAGCTCCTTTCCTCTGAGACTTACAGTTTGAAACACAGCTGCTCAAACAAAACCGACCCAGGTAATGAAAGGTTGGTATAATGTGCAGGGGAGTTAAGAAGAGGCACAGTGTCCCGAATTAAATATTTTCCAAACTAATCTAGAAGCCCAAAACTTATTGTGAATTATATAAAAACTAGAAAAAAGTGAAAATATAAACATATTACCATGTTAATTGTTTACTTACCAAGCAATACAGTAATCTAGTACATTTACTCAAATAGCCTACTACTTGTTTTTGAGATCATTGAGGTATTTTTGATTTTCCTGTGCATTTTCTGCTACTTTCTACATCCACTCCACTGCACTTCAGAGTGAAATATTACACATTTTATACCTATTTTGCAGATAAATTATTAGATTAGCAGATTTTACATATTAAACTTATTACATGCTGATAAAACATGATACTACCTAAAACAAATAAAGTAGTTAAGCAGCTACAATACTAAGGAAGAGGCAGAAGAAGATGCTTATATTGTACTACATCACTCTTTTTTGCCAGGTCGTCATTGTTAATGAGGTTCTCAATTCAAAACTTTTATTGGCCAGGTATGTGCACACATACAAGGAACTTCCCTCCGGTTTTACGTTGCTAAGCATGAATAAACAGGACAACAAGATCAACAAAATAGACATGAACTACTATGTGCAGTTATACATATACAAACAAAAGAAAAACTAACATTTTGTAGTAGACAGTATCTGGTTAATACAATACACAATACAATCTAATATATTTATAGCTCCGAAATGAGCCACTTTCACCTGTAACAGAACATTTCTGCATTCATTCACAGTACTGCACTCACTGCTTCTTCCGAGTTTATAAAACCACTGTATGTTGGCTCCGCTTTGGAATCGCGATATTTCCGACAGCACTTAAACGCACCAGCCGACACACTTCGGACAAGCAGACGGAGGAGAAGCACTGAAGGAATCCAAGAGTTGTCCTGAGCCAAGTTCAGATACCGTCAAGAAGGAGGAGTAACGAGGTAATTTTTTTTTTTTTTCACACAAGGAGGGTTAACTGTAAGTATTGACTCCCCAGATAAACACCTCGCTCCCTTTTTCCTCTCGACATAGTTGTTTGACTGTCGGCGTTTAGGCGGTTGACGGGAAAGCGGAACTAGCTAACTAAACTAGCGAGCTAGCAGCACATTAGCCGAGTTGCCCCAGGAGCCTGCCCCTTGTTTACCACACTGCAGAGCACAACAGCAAGCTTTAAGACAATGTAAGGAAAACTTTAATCTGCTTTTTTGACAGACTACTCGACACTGTTCCCTTTCGCCCCCCACACACACACACAACTCTTTTTATTAAGTTTTTAAAGTGTTATTTGTTGGGACTTTGGAGTCACAACTTTGGTGTCGTGGGTGTGGGTGACAGCCTCTTTTTCTTTTTTTCTCTTTTTTTTTTAAAAAAGTGCATTTGGTTCATGTTTCTCATTCAGCCTAACGTCACTTGTTTATCAAGTGACCCTCGTTAAATAGTGGCTCAGCACTTAACTTTATTCCTCTCTGTATGTAAGGTAACCAAGGTCAGGTGTTTTGTGGATATAGATATTTAAATGCAACGCAGACAACGGAAATGATTAACCCTCTGTCGCATTTTCTGCTATGTCTTCAGTTATGAATGGCAGCTGTTGTGAAAACCGCTGACACGTTTTTTTTTTTTTGGTACCCTATAAAGGCTCTGAGAGGAATATAAATGAGGTTAAGGTTTTTGTGTGTACAGAATGATGTCATTGGCCCTCTTGTTTGTTTGTTTTGATTATCAGCCAACCACCCTACCTAAAAACAGTTCACAGTTCACACTTAACCAAAATCACCTGGGACAGGCTGTAAGAGGGGAAAAATAGCCTCTATGTGTGACTGAAAAAGATCAAGAAGAGGGATATGATCACAGCATGGCGAGAATAAGAAAGGGAGGTCAGTTTGCTGAAGTCAGATCTGGAGGAACAGGTTTGGGTAGAGGAACAAGAAATGCGTTTCCCTGTAGGAGCTATTGTTTTTAGACACTCGCTGTTGGTTGCTGTGAAGAAACTATAACATGAACGGGTATGTCCTTAAGGCTTGTTGAATTATTCTCCTTGTGGCTGTGAACACATGTAGTGTGTCTTCACAGTCTTGAGTGGTTGTCGAGTGTGTGTATGTGTGAGGTGTGAAAATATAGGGTGTACTGTAATGAGGTGATAGGCTCAAATTGCACTGGGGATATAAAACAAATCTAGTATTTACCCTTGAGTTGCTCATGTGTAAAACTTCTCATGAGGATAAATCTATAGTCAGCTATACGGAGACCCGCTTTGCTGGTACGTGTGATTGATCTTTTTAGTGTTGACACGTTCATCTGCTGGTGTTGTGCCTTGATATTTCAAAAAGAGCACAAAATGTGTGAATGAGTCCTCCTTCGGTTGTTACAGTTGTAAACTCGCATCAGTATCTTGCCAAGTCCAATAATCAGTTAGGAAAAAAAACATTCAAGAGTGTGTGAACCAAGTGCCCTCTTTCCAAAGAAAAGAAATGCAGAGTCAACAACATTAAATCCTCTGATGTGTCTGCCAAGTAGACTATCCATTTTCCCTGTTTTTTTTTTGTGTGTGTGTTTTTTTTTTTTCTCAGGATGTAAGTTGGTGCAGGAAAGGGACCTTGGAGCTCAGGGGTTATTTGAAAAACAAGAAAAGTCACTTTAAAGGAAAAAAAGGTTGACAGGAGAGGAAGAGAAAGGAAGATGAATAAAGCTGTTTTTTCCTGAATGTTTTAATCTTTTGAAATAGAGCGCGCCTGATATATTGGTAGGTCAGCATTATTGGCCTATTGCAGACATATAGGTATCGACGTACATCCGATATGTGCCGATATGAAAACTGTAATGACTGCTGGTTGACAACGTATATGTTTAATTATTCTAACATGTTAAATAATATTTAAATAAGTCATATTGGTGCCAAATTGGGGCACAATCCACGTAGAAAATGTTCAAAATTTGCTACATTGGTTGCCATATTGAAATCGTTATTGGTCTCAGAACTTCCATATAAGTCGGGCTCTACTTTAAAAAATGTGTTTGTTATTAACTGAGTCTGTCCTTGAAAGTTCAGTCTTTCTGCAACACAGAAAACAAGCTTAAGTCTTTGCTTATGATGATCTTGATCTAATGTTACCTTGTGCATCAAACGCTGTCCGAGGCAGCCATTACACCACAGTCATTTCAGTGTGTCCTGTAATACTGGGCTGCAATGAAGGTCACTTAATGCACAAATAATTTCTCTTTTGGATTGGATTTGTATCTGCTAAACCACTACACTGCAAGGTAGCCAAGCTCATGCTGTGAACATAAAGCATCTCCATATGGATTGCCTGGAAAAGCACAGTGCAAACACACCTATTACTCAAGCTCTGTCTGCTTCTGCTTGTCAGTGTAGTTGTATTAATGAGAACCCAGCATCGTTTACAACATCACCTGTGGAAAGTACCATATGGGTTGTTGTTTTGCTATGTTACTCGTATGGTCCTGCTCTCACTTCCCTCTAACACATAGGGGCATTTAATTCAGATTCACCTCTTTTTGACAGACTACCTTTGTCTGAACCTCAATGAAGTCCCCCTTTTGAAATCTTTAAAAAATAAACTTGAAGCACAGAAAAATGTCCAGTTCCTCAACGAGCTGCGCTTAGTGGCCAACCATGATAAACACTTCCTGCTAATGGCTCACAGTGACAGCTTCAGCGACGTCTTGCCTTGTGCCCGCCCTAATGTTGTACATATTGTGCAAGATTATGAAATCTCAATATTAATCTGAACGCAGAGCCTGCAAGGAGCTGTGAAATGTGCTCACATCTGGTGTGTTCTGATGTGATCAGCTGTGGGACGTCACGTGAGATCAGTAGCATAACTGTCTGTGCCTTTTTTAAACTGAAGCTTTCAGTAACTCAGTCTTTACCACCGAGGAGCCAAAGTTGAACTTTGTTGCATTTTAGTGCATCAAATTTGACTTTTTTTTTTTTTTTTTACTGATGGCAGCAGTTTATTTGCAAACCCTCCTCCATGTTCTCAGACAATTAAGTAGGTGTTGTGTATCACCCCGCTGTAATACAATCCCTGGATGCAGTCCATAAAGATACTAGTGACGGCAATCAAGTAGGCTGTATCATTGTGGTTGCATAAATAATCACATTTGGTTATATTTGTTTCCATGATAAGCTATCCTATAATATTATTGTATAAGATATATGATTACGGCACGTAAAAACTGCACAAAAAAGAAGAACATAATTTATAATGTGAATGGTGTGATAAGTAGAGCCATTAACTGTTCATTTCAGTAAGTAAAGTAGTTTTAAAGTATTAAATTCATACATGTGTGTCATTAAACTGTGATGCTGCATTTTAAAACCAAACTAACACAAACTGTAGTTCAAGCAATTTCTTAAATTGTCCATATTATCAGTGAACACAACTAAAAGACAACTTCTTTTAAAAGACCTACCTTTTTAATATTACTTATAACACAGTAATGTGCTTTTTACACTTGTAAAACAGTTGTATCTTGTTATATTCTATTTTTATGAACTTGTTTTAACTTTTATCATTTCATTGATCTGTTTATTTACTGACTTTAAATCAAGTAGTAGTAAACCATTGTAATGTTTTGCGTACTTCTGCCCGTTCATCCAAGCTCATGATTCAGATTTTCCTATCACAGACTCCTTATCTCTGTTTCCTCATCATTGGCATACATTCTGCTAGCCACACTGCAGCTAAGCTTTACGCTAACAGGGAACTGCTCTAGGCTCACCAAAAGATAGTTTTGAGCCATTGTTGAATTAGATTTTCGTTTCTTTTATCAGCAAGCCTGCTGTATGTGTTCAGCCTCCTAACACTCCTTCAGGGGCAGGAAAAGAGGCTGATTTGTTTAGGTTTTGCATCTCCTTCTTCCCTCTCCATATGGGTGACATGAACATACATTGATGCTCTCATGTAGTCAAATGTTAGGTCCCTAAATGTGTTCTCCATATTTAAGATTACACACTGAAGCAATAGTCTACAGCACAGAGCCCTGACTACTGGTGTTGCATAATGATGTGCTGTGGCTGAGGCATTGAGACACTAAACCCTGATACACCTATAATTTAAATTAGGGAATTTGAATTAGGCTTACTGATTATTTTACTGAAAACAATGACATTAAGTTCAGGATTAATCGGTATAATGTAAAAAAAAATAAAGGTTTTTAAAAATCCCATCATAATTTATAAGAGCCTAATTGCTTATTTTGTCTGACCAGCAGTCAAAGACAAATATTACATTTATCATTATTTGAGACAGAGAATATCAAAGAAACCTCACATTTCCAAATCTGTAAATTGCTGTACAGAAATGTCCAAGATACAGTAGGTTTGAGGTAATTTAGGAACACTATTACACAGTTAATCGACTAGAGGTTTTTTTCACAACTTTATCAAACATGTTTGAATGTGTGTTGTATTTATATATAAAAATTGCAGGTCCATGTCATTAGATTTATTTTCAAACTAGCAAATACTAATATCAGTTTTGGTCTTAAAAATACAGCATCTGTCATGCTATAATAGGCACTGTCAGCTAATTGGTTATTCAACTACCTGTTTCATCAGTAATTGGCATCAATATGATGCTATATTCTCCCTTAAACTTAATATACTTCACTCTCACTCTTGTATGGTGATAAAATATGTTTTAGTAGCTCACAGTAAAGGTATGGTCTCAGATTTGTTTGGAGTCACAGAGCTTGATGATAATTGACGCCCTCTGATGTGACGTCAGTGAGTGACCTTTTGAAATCTTCCCCTCCTCCAGGCCGCAGAATATCGAGCTCGGTGCCGCAGGAGGAGCCTCCAAACAGGACAGCAGCAACATGGAAGACATGACTGTGGAACAGATGACCATGAGGGCCAACCAAGTGACTGACGAGGTACTGAGTCACACACACTTACACTCACACAATACACAGACAAAGAATCCCTCTCTCCCTCATTCTCTCATTGTCTGAGTGAGTCTGAAACTTCCTTGAGGTGATTTTCTGCCCAAAATATTTTAGTATGAAATGCCAGAACTGTGCAAGCTTACAGATAGAAGCCTGAAACTATCAGTGTTGGGAGCATACTGAGCATACAGATGAACACTGGGGAAGTGAATAATGTTTGCAGGAGAGTTTTGAGAAGTTTCTGTGTTTTGATCCTTTTCGGTAACACTTTATCTTACGGGTCAGTAATTTCCGAATAATTTCCTAATAATTCTCTCTGTCATTTCCTACAAAGAATTACATATTTTGCTACTAACTGATACACATCCAGTTAATGAATTCCAATTTGGTGCTTAGCAGAGGGTCTTAGTCAGTGCACACAATGTGAGTGTAACATCCAAATGTGTGAAATTTGTCTACAGGAAAGCAAACAATTCAATGTATATGGTGACTTAAGTTTGCACTTCAAAATATAATATATATTAAATTGATAAAAAAAAAATTCTTGGGTTTAAATTTAGCTTTTCTTTAAAGGATTTGCAATAATTAGTACAAAATTACATCAAGGAAATGTCCTTGGAAATCATTTAGAAATGACAGACCCTTAAAACATAGTGTTACCCAGTTTTAGTGCTACTTATCACCATTTAAATTTAAGCTGAGCACAGCTGTTATTCTCTGTGGACAATGAAACTGCCAACTTTTAACAGACATCTCTCAAGCCTGCAGGGAATGAGTCTTTGATACTAAAAAGGGAGTTTTTGGGTGGAGTATCCCTTTAATTCATGACCAGAGGACTAAAACATACATGCTAATTATCCACAAACAAGCGATCAGGACAATGAATTTGTTTCAGATGCAAAACTGCAGTTGTTCAAATTTAAATGAAGCCATACAAAGTTGCAGGAGCTGTGAATATAAAGTCTTAAAGGAGCAGTTTGACATTTTGGGAGGAGTAAGATGGGAAATTAAATACTACTCTAATGTCTGTACACTAATATGAAAGTAGAGGCAGTTGGCTAAGCATAAAAACTGTAAATTGAGGGTAACAGCTAGCCTGGCTTGGTTTAAAGGTGAAAAAAAAAATACCAGCACATCTAAAGCACGCTAATTAAAATGTGTCAATTAACATGTCTGTCTGTACAAAAACAGAACCGAAGCTAATCACATGTTGGCTTTAGTTTTTAGCACACATGTGTGAGAGTGGTATCAATTTCCTCATGTAACTCTCAGTCAGAAAGCAAATAAGCTTATTTCCCAAACATAAAAATTTTTTGTCCAAACACTTGGAGGCAAAACCTTCCAAGCTACAACAATGTAGATCATTTAATGTATATTCAGTTTCATCATTCAGCCTCATTAGTGCATTACTATTGAAATATTTGATTTAATCATGCACTTGATAATCAAGCTTTATGATTATTGTGATGAAATAATCAACACATACATACGTGTAATCGGGCGTACAGCACTGAAAGCACCAGGGCTTGGTAAATATATTTGTTGGATTCACAGTTGATTATTAAGCTACGCATTAATAGGAAGTGTGTGACGCTTTATGTCTAATTTAGTCTGATAGCTCCCTTGCCCCTCTGTGGTTTTGAGGGTTTGAATGTTGTCAGCTATATCTTAGTGTTTTATTATCAAGGAGATAATTGTTTAATCAGCACTCCAGGGCATCATATGATCAGCCATCTGATTCAAATGGATTCAAACGGATTCAAATTAACTTATTCTAGCTGGGCTTGTAGCTGTGTACTTAACCTTCCTGTAATTCTGACTGTACTAATTGTCCTTTTTTCTTTTTCCTTAACTGTGTGTTTTTTCTCTCTCTCTGCATGCTTTCTTACTTAACTTGCGATTTTCTCTTTTATCTCTCTTCTTTTTGCTGCTGCGTGGTTGACTTTGCAGCTCATAGAAGGGAGAGGGAATGGGAGGGTCCTCCCTGCTAATGCTACTTATCACTCTGAGTCTTTCAGGTATGAGTAGTTACTCAAAGCCAGAGCATGGCTGGTTATGTATCAGGGCAACATCGGAATTTGTTATGATAAGAAAGGATTGTTTGTAGGACGTCTAACACAAGCTGTCTTATAATATCAAAGCTGTTTTCCATCTAGTAATTAAAAAAGGCTTCTACACTCCTCAGTATTACATTAATAGTTATTTAAATTAATTATATGTGTGCTACTACAAAATCATCCTGGTATATTGCAGCCAATTTATACCCGTAGTGTGTTTTTTATGCTTTTTGTGACAGAATAACACTTGAATTTCTGTGTTTTAAAAAGCCTTACATGTCGTTTGCTGGAACCACCACGTACCTCGCCTGACTGTACTTTCATTTAAGCCATCCCAAACAAATGTTAAAAATACCATGCCATTGTCTGTATCTCACAGCAACCCAATCTGGAAAATTTGGCTAAGACAGCGATTTCGGGCTTAATTAGCCAAGTTCAAGGATTTTAGGAGACATAATGTAATGTTTATCCACCCAAGTGATGTTCTGGCTAAGCCAACAGAAACCTGGCTGAGCTCAACACATCCCTCTCGCCAATTCCGTGTTTGTCTTTTTCTCAACTCACTGATTAATGTATTCAGAGCAAACGTAACACAGAGAGAATGAGGAATCGGGTCCCCACTCTCTCTCTTGTTAACAGTTCATTAGTGATGGTAACAATGGAGTCATGCCCCGAGTCACTCTTTTGGATGCTCTGGTCTCTGTACAGCACTTGCTATTAATAGAGACACAAAGGCGTAACTCACCTGAACTGACTGCATTCCAGTTTGCAGTCAACTTTTGTGTCTTTGTGCGCATGTGTGTCTGTGTTTTGTGTCAGCCGTACCCATGTCACTTGATCAGGGAGAGTTAAGACACGGTGACACACACTACCCCTGCAGCTATCCACGCATCATAATAATTTTAAGCAGGTTTTAGTATGTAGGGTGTTAGTCAGTTTATTTATTTATTTATTTATTTAGAGTGTGCTATCTAGGGCTGAAATAAAAGAATATGTCAAAGCATTCAGGTTATTATCACATAAGGAATGCAAAAACAATAGCAAATCCTCACTATTGAGAGACTGGAGCCATCCTTAACAAAGCAAAAAACTCAAACAATTAATCTATTATTAGAATAGTTGATGATTCATTTTCTGTTAATCAATCAGTTGTCTTGTTACAGCTCTAGAAGAGGAGTTGTTCACAGCTGGGGGGAAATTTTGTCGATGTAATTGTTTGGTCTATAAGATGTCTAAAAAAATTATTCTGGAACAATAACACAATTTCCCAAAGAGCAGGTTTACGTATTCAAATTGAAATATTTATATATATATCTTAATAGATTAAAACTAAAGCTAAACACATTTGAGAAGCTGGAAACAGTGAATGTTGGGCATTGATGGCGTTGCAAAAAATGACTGTTTGAAAACTGAATTGGACAGAACAAGCAATTTGAAGACATCCCCTCAGGCTTTAGATGGCCTGTCTTTTTGTATTTTATAGACTAATATAAAAATGAATCAAGAAAATAACTGGCAGGTTAATTAATAATTAAAATAATCATTAGTTGCAGCCCTAATAAGCTCTGAAATGTTTGTTCCATAACTGCACTGCAACTTCTAAGACCAGGAAAACCAATTGACCCCAAATTATGATTTTATAATCATATAAATATACACTATCTAGTCTACTGTTACAGTGTTGTATTGATGTATCAGCCAGGTAAACAGGGCAGGCTGGGGTTGCAGGGAAAGACTAATTCAAACACTGATGTAAAAGATTGGAGAAGATACAGTATGTGAAGCAGTGTTTGTATGTACAGGTGTGGACATACAAAGATAGGATCTTATATCTTTACACTCACATAGAACTGGTTTTCTAGATTTGTTGCTATCTACTTTCATAACTTTATAAACATTCATGGTGGCACTTCCTCCTCCATGTTTTTTTTTTTATCTTGTGTATCTTTCCATTTTCCTTATCCCTCTTATCTTGCTCTCTTTTCTCATTGTCTCTTTAATTCCCTTATGTTGTTTTGTTCTGTTCTCTTCTGTCTCTTAAGGCCACATTCACACCAGTCTGTGGTTTTGTTGAAATAAATTCAGATCCAGATAGAAGCCAGATAGATGTAAAACCCTGTCTGGGTTTAATACTAATAAAGTATAAGTATGAGTTAATAAAATTCAGTCCATATTCATTTTATTTGCAAAATCTTGTTTGGTTACATTTGGGTAGTTGGCACCTAAAAGAAAGGATCCACAAATGTATCAACCAAAATCAGTCTTTGTCTTTTTTTATTGTTTTTTTTCCTCATTCTATGTGCAGGCTGCTTTCACATAAAAAACTCACCTCTTTTTATCCACTAACACTTCTTGTTTTTCCTCCACAGTCACTGGAAAGCACACGCAGGATGCTGCAGATGGCAGAGGAGGTGAGACTTTGATGATTTGCTGCCGCTACTGACACAAAATCACAATATCGTGTTACGCGCAGCCATGTTTTGATGACCGGAAAGCGGTCCCATGCTGGTTTATAATTGGGCCCCTGCCTGGATGAGGGTTAGGAAATTTTCATCTCAGCGAATGATGATTTCTGCGATGTAATGCCCAGGCTTACAAGTTGATCATAATTAAGTAGTCTTTGTTTGACATTAGATGATAGAAGATTTTAACATTTAATGTAATAAAAGATTTGGTACTCTGAGTTTATATTCTCTTTTTAAAAGATTATTAGAGAAGAGTCATTTTGAAAAGTTAAAGCATTTAAAGAAAATTGTTGCTTCAGTTATTAATTATTACACTTTTTTGTATGAATTTGTCTTAGCATCAGTTAGCTTTCAAATTCTGATCAAAACCAATATCCTAATTAACTCCTAATTGTATCCAACCCTGATTATTTCCATTCTTTTATAAAACATGAATCTGTCTGTAATCTTTTCATTGGTTCTGAATTTGTGTGACTCTTATGTTTTCAGAGCAAACAGACTGGCATCAACACCATGGTGATGTTGGACCAGCAAGGAGGTAGATAATACATCATGAACACTGCTAGTTTTAATGCATATATATATATTTACATATTCCACATATCCACCTCTTCTTCTTTTCCAGCTTTCAGTTCATTGCTATTTTATTTTTTGTTGTTGCTCTTTGTCTGTGGCAAAGAGTGAAATGCTGAGTGAAATGCTAATGGTTAAGTTTAAAGAGTCACCCACATTTTAAAGGAAGTGAGTAACATATAGACATATATCACACTAATAGTATTACAATAAACCGTAATAATAAAAAATAATAAAATGCACTTGTATACACATCCTTGTGTATCAGATTTGGATCAGATTTTTTGGACAGTTCTGTTGCAGATGTCGTGCCGCAATGAAAAGAATAGATTTCCTGTTTTGATATTTACAGAAACAATTTCTTTTCACTGAAGCACTCAGGATCACAAAGGGAAGCTCACAAAGATGAGTCTGCGATAGAAAGTTTGCAAGGACAACGATTTGTAAAGCATTAACTCATAAAACTGAATAAGTGCTAACAAAGCTGTATTTACACACATCCACCAATCATCATAGTTCTACTCTAACAGCAACACTGAAAGGAAGTGGTATTGTGATGAGATTAAAAAAATATCTGTGTTTGAGTGTGCATCAGTATTGGCCACAGTTTGTTGGTAGTGTTCTGTAATGTACATCCTTAAATATTGGTGCACTAGATTAATGTGTACCTTCATTGTTTCTTCAAGTTATTTGTCTATATTTGTGCTGAAATCTTGTTTAATTGTTTATTGCCTGTAACTTTATGTATAACTACGGTCTAAGACATGCACTCCCTGTTTAAAAATGTGCATTTGTAATTATTTGTTGTACTACCTGCAGGATGTCATTATTTTTTTTTTTTTTTTTTTTTTTTTGCTGCTGCAATGACCCAGTTATTGACCCAATTTAGGAATCCTCACAGGGATCATTAAAATTTAATCTAATATGTTCTAAAAATTGATTAATAGAGTGGCTATACAAAACAACGTCAACAATAAGACAAATTCCCAGTGTATAAAACGCACCTAGATACAGAAAAGGAGAGTCTGACATGGTGTGGTGCTCCTGTCTGTGTTTCAGAGCAGCTGAGGCGTGTGGACGAGGGCATGGACCAGATCAACCAGGACATGAGACAGGCTGAGAAAAACCTGACTGACCTCTCCAAGTGCTGCGGCCTCTGTGTCTGCCCCTGTGACAGGTACACTGTACAACCCAGAGCTGCTGAAGGCTCCAAATCACTGTTGTGTGTCATCATGCTTCTCTCTACTTTTTTTTGTGTGCTGTGCTTTTATGTATCATAATTATTTATAGAGAAGGTATGTGGCTGGTTTATATGTGTGAGTGGACTTTAAAGCAATCACTATTAGCTGTATAGAACAAGCAGGAAAGGATGAAACAACTGAAGTTTTTGATCAATAACATATTTTACTTTGATATGTTTATTTAATTTTTTAAAGTAAGGAGCATTCAGGATTAAAACACAGTCTGTAGCCTAAATAAGTTCACGTTTGGATTTTGGGTCCATTTTGGATTAATACAGCAACTATGGCGCAGTGTTCCCCACTGCAACAGCAACTTGTTTTGAATTGTCTACCACTCGCCTCTACTTGGCTCCTTCTGCGTAGCAACAGAAACTCACGCTCATGGGTATTTTGAGCCGTCCACCGTGCCAAAGTCATGGGCAAATCATAATTTCTCAGAAACAAAGTAGAGAAAAATTCAAATTAGTTGTCATTCCATCACTATATAGGATTTTTTCATATCCAGGAGAGTCCTGAGTTTCTGTATTAAGTAACATTGAAGATATTGTTTAAAAGAAAAAAAATTGAAATGGAAACAGAGAACTGGGAAAAACTTTTCCATAACACAACTCTGATCTGTCAGGATGCTTTCATATGAACACAGCGTGCACTCAAAATAGTGTAACATGGAAAAAAGTAAATATAAAAATTATTTGCATGTCAAATATGTATTTTACAGTCAAAAGATTGCTGAGTTTGTGAGCATTCCCAGTGGTTTATGAATGGGTAAGGAATGTGACAGTGTTCCTACCAACATGACAGGTGAAGCGCTCTGTGCTGAGCATACTTAAAACCCTCCATCAAACCATATCGACATGCATTGTCAGTGTGTGTGCATAGTAAGATCATATCTGGTTCTAAACATGGAAAAAAAAATCTCCCCAAATGCTTTCACATTGGAGCAGAGGATTCTTTGATGATTACCAAAAGATAAGGTAGGGAATCTTTATTAACTTCCTTTATAATTAATCAACATCTGTGACTGCAGCCAATTTTGGAGCTTTATAAATCTCCTCTGGAGGTTTTTTGTTTTTTATCCAGGTCCATGTTGGTGCATTTAAGTTAACAGTCTTCATGTTGTTATTTAAACACTTCTGGATTTCCTGGTTTGTAAAGACTTGACATTTTTTCCTCCAGGGTGTCTTCAATCGAGCACGACTCAAAATACAAGCGTACCTGGGGTATTGGAGGAGGTGACGGCGAAATTGATTCCAATGGCTCAAAAGTAGTCTCAAGGCAGCCCTCAGGTGTCCGTAATGGCCAGGCTGCCCAGGCGAGCGCCCCGGCGCCCTCAGGCCCATACGTCAAGAGGTGGAGTCCTAGGCATTTTGTTTCCTTACAAATCTTTCTTCATAATGTTCAGAGGCTTGTTTAGTTTAGAGATTACATTCAGTCTTTATTTTTAATATTCACAAATAAGATATCGGGACACACTTGACACACTTTACATCTGTGGTACAGGATAACCAACGATGCACGCGAGGATGAGATGGAGGAGAATCTGGATGCTGTGGGCAGCATCATTGGCAACCTGAAAACTATGGCTATGGACATGGGCAGTGAGATAGACAAGCAGAACAAACAGATCGACGGCATCACTGCCAAGGTAAGGAGTCTGGGATGAATTTGAATTGTTTCATGCTGCACCTCAACGTGTTTTTCAAACATGGATGTTGGATTTGCAAAAGTTTTATGAGGAAGGAAATGCATTCAGCATGTTTTTTCAAGGATACACACTTTGCATTCTGGTGAGAGAGAGAATGAATGAAAACATAACTTTTGTCAATTTAAAAGAAAACACCACAGGGTAACTTTTAAAAGAATTACTTATTGCTTTACAGGAAATGCAATGAAGTACATTCAGGTTAAAGGTTCCCTGTGAAGGTTTCCTGAAAACCAAAACAATGTTCAATCAGTTTCCTTCCTTTTTTAAGATATTTGCAAAGAAGAATTTTCTTTCTTTGCATTGTTTACATTCATGTTTACATTCATGTTTACTTCGGCCTTTCCTTTTGGAGCACTGCTGCACATTACATTTCCCCATGCACGTGTATCCTCGTCCACGAGACAAACAAAACAGGGACCCACTTATTAAAAACCTGCCCCATAGCACCAGAGTTCAAAAACTCCACAGGAAATGTTTTTTAAAATGCATTTAAAGTCAGTGAAGTGCTAAATGAAAAGAAAAAAGGGGTGGATGTTTGTGTACCAACCCTTTCTCACCTGCTCCTGTTCTGTCTTTCAGGCGGACATGAACAAACTTCGCATCGATGAAGCCAACCAGAGAGCCAACAAGCTCATCAAGTAGACGAGGAACCCCGCTTCCACCAGTTTTATCCATCAACCTTGAGCCTCTGTCGCTGCACCCATACACACACACACACACACACTGCCTTGTTGTGCACATGCACAAACACACACTCTTAGACATAAAAAAAAAATTCAGTCCGGAAGAATATCTTTGCCAGCAGTGTGCCTGCCTTTACTGCACCAAGATGTAAGTTGAATACACAAACATTTATACATTTTATAAATTGACTACCAATATAGCCTTTGACATATGTATTTCATAGTCATGCTGGACTTTGAGAAGCAGGCTGGGCATCAGAAACTGCACCCAGATGTGACTGACTGCCTATACCTGCTGTTTGATACCAAATATGCACAAGACCTGTTGTATCATATCTCATTCACAAGAAGGAAAGCGGCACAGGTCTGCTGCTTTTCTTTCTTATTTTTTCCTCTTTTTTTGCCTTTCTCTTAAATTCAGGAACTATGAACTTTCTCTCTTTGTCTGTGTGCGTCTGTGGTTTGTATGGATGAGGTCACAGATACAGACTCATTAACTATCTTTTAGTGATATACAGCACAGCGTTAACTTATGTGTCAGCCCCTGTTGGTCCTGTCTCGATACAGCTACATCTAGTTAAATCAAAAAAACATTGATTTTAGTCTGAGAATGTATCTTCCTCAAATTCGTATTGGTTCAATGTGTAATTAAGTTTATTGTATCATGTATTGTTTTGAGATGACATGCTTATTTAATTATTCTTTATCAAGCAGAAATGACCTGTGGATAAAGTTGTGTTTTTTAACACTTTGTTCTCATGTCATTTGTGCCATTTGAGATGTAAAAGCTATTTCAAAAGATATCAAATGTTGTGCTTTGGGGGTGAGTCATGGCAAATTCTTTCATGCTGGCTTTCAAAGCACCTACCCCTGAATGATGGCAATTTAAAGTTTTCATTTTCTGACTACTGAGAAGTCAAGGTTGTTTGTAACATTTTGCGAAAAAGAATTGTGAGGCGGTGACCTGGTAGAAATTTTAATATATATATATATAGCAATCACTTGTCCTTCAAATGTGAAGGAGGGTCAGTACGCATCATGAGGAACGTTCATCATTAGCTCCTCCAAGGAATCTAGTTTAGTTTATAATAACACTGAATATGGGAAACACGAGTGAATGGTTGAATAAAAGTTGATTTGTCATCAGTGGATCAACTGCTGTACTTCATATTTAGCGGCTCTCTAGGTTTTTCCACTCTGAGCGCAGTGTTGATGTACATACTGAAACATACTATAGCTATAGTCATTCTGTTAATCTAATTCTATTCTTCTTTCTGCGTTACCTCCTGGTTAATAAAGATTTATAGCACCCAAGAGGAGATTTAACAGCCTATGCAGGGTTCCTACACAAGTCTGGTTATGTGTGGAAAATTAATTTTCCTCAAGTTTGATAATTGCAGTCTGTATGAAAACAAATGTTCAGTCCTGAAACAGACGGCTGTACATTGTTTAATCTACTATCATTTCTCATATTAGCTCACTGGGTCACTGTCATTATGGCATATGCAGCGGTTTTGTCATAATGAAAATGACTGAGAATCTTACAATTTAAAGCTATCAGTCAGGAAAATGTTTAAATTTAGGAATGGGAGAATGTGCAGGAACCCTGTAAATGCCTTTTTATAGATGGTCTATGGTTGTGTTCTAACAGCCAGTGTATCACAAACAGCTCCTCTTGCATCTGTTCTGTAAATAGCCAGTTTTCACAGCAGGGCTACAGTAAAATGATAATATCTGATCATGGAAAGCATAATTTGCTTTGTCAAAGCCGTAGCAAGGCTGAGAAATTACTGCTGGCAGCAAGATGCAAAAGTATACATGTAAATGAATGATGTTTAAGGGGTAAACGTAGAAGCAGAATAAGTTGTGGCGGGCTGTTAAGGCCTCGCTGTGGGAAATTGGCTAATGATAAAGTGATACAGTATGCTGAAAGTATCTCTCATATGCATCTTCTGGCTTGTTTGTTTTGGGAAAAAAATGATAATTTGTGTTCTCTGCTGCAGGCATACACCTATTGAGTTTGTAAAGATTGAAATGAACTGTTATTCAGGGCTTTGTATTGCTATAAGTGATCACCCTCAGCCCGTTACTTGTCAGCTGAGATCTAATTAGTCTAGCCTAAGGCCGCCTCGCTGTCCTGAGGCTGTTTATTCATTGTTGTACCAACAGCCACTGGAATGTAAATCCAACCGTTTTGTCTATTTTGAATATGTTCATATGCAGGTCGTCTTATCTGAAATTAGCTTGGTTAACGGATGACTGTACAACAAAGTAAAAATGCCTTTTGTTTTCACGGCTGCCTCTGTTAAATATTTGTACTCAATAAATCTATTTTGAAATTCATTGTATTGCATCTTTTTTAATGTATTAATAATTATAATAAAATCAGTATTCATTCAAAATAGGCAACCGTGGTCATGAATTTCAAAGTTTAGCTTAAGGTCAATAAATCAGCCCAAACTGTATAGTTTCAGGAGTTTATTTTAAAGTTTATTCTCTCAAAATGTATTTGATATTTCTCAACATTTTTGGATATTTTACATAGCTAGAGAGTACAAAATGCAGATTAAAAACCACTGAACAGAAAAGGCAGGTAGGAAGGAGTGGAGGAATAAACAAAGTGGATGGAGGTGACAGAGTAGAAGTGTTACTGTAGATAATAGTGACCAATAAAAACAAGACTGGATACATGTGATGCAAGTTTCCCAAACTATTGCGAGCTTGATAACAGAGAAATTTGACTACTGGCACTAGTAGCACAGACGTGATGTTCTTCTGGTCGTTTCTTGTTTTGGACGGCCTCGAGAAGATCATATATTTAATAACTACTTTGTTCCTTTGTATGTAATCTAGACAGAGATCATCATGATGCTACCACATTTCCTCCTGAGCTGAACAGTCATGTTTATCTTTCTACACCTGATTTCCATCGTTTCAATGAGGTCACTTGAGTTGGGTCGTAGTTCAGGGACAGAGCCCACAGTACAAGGCAAGACGGCAGTGGGAGAGTGTATGTGTGAGCCACCATCCATCCATCCTTGTGACAAATTAACATCTTCAAACGCTGTTCCATATACTGTACATACTCTATATTCCTTGTATGCATATATATAGATTACAATTTCTTATTCTATAATGGCTTTATTGTTAAATGTACCAAATTTTTCACTTCCTTCCTTTCTCCCCTTACATTCATATTAAAGACACATTCTCTCAGCTCCATACTGGTACTGTATGATCCTCGCCTTAGATAAAGAGCATGCCTGGCCCTGTTGTGTGGTTTGGAAAAGCAGTCAAGATTCATCCGACCCACAGCTTGTCCTAGACTTTGGCTGGTACCGTAAAAACCTTTTGAATAATAGTCCGGGCGCCTTTTCTGCTTTTACGAGAGCACCTGGTTTAAACTCTAGTTGGCTGTAATTTGACACTCATAAAATAAATTTGAGTTTGTGAGACAAGAGGGGTGTTTCATAAATGCAGATTACCAGTCAAACCAGGTTTATTTCAGCAATTTAGGCCTATTTTTTCATGAAGGAGGTTTAAATAAATCTGACCTGAAACAGGCTTTTCTTTAAAGCTTCCTGTGTTTAAGGAGCTGCACTTAAAAATTTATCTTTTCCAGCCTTCATTCCAGTCAACATATGTCTTTTTAAACAAACAAAAAACAACTTTGACCCAACTTTGCTTCATAGTAAGCAGCATGTTCACCATTTGTTCTCTCTTTAATTACATTTTTTAAATAATGAAGAAATAGACATCCAGTAACCGGTGGCAGGCAGCCAATTTCAAGGTATTTAAATTGTGTTTTCACCATGTGGGGGCTGTTATTTTACTAAGTGGCAAAATAATACTGACAGAGAAGTTTAGGTTCTAAAAATGCTAATTATCTTCTTGTCATTGCCATGCTTTAAAATAAATTACTGAGCTGGGGTCTTAATGTATATTTCAAAGTTGTTTAACGGCATCTTGTATTTTATACATCTACATATTATTTTTTTAGTCTCACTGTTGACCCACCGCATTCAGCCAGAAGTTGTCTCTATTTTGTTTATGGCAGTGGTTTTGTCCATTTTCTTCATTCTGAATTAATGTTATCAGTGCTTCATGTCTCGGGTCCAAACTTGACTTTAGGAAAGGGATTAATCCTGGTTCAGTTTGTTAGGCTCATTTCAATTTGAGGCTTTTCACAATAAGACCGACTCTTCTGAGCCACGTTTATGAAACACCCTTCAGATATATGATCACAGAATATATTTTCACGTGTGTCCCTACAAGCCAAAGTTGAAGACAAATAAGGCAGGTCAAGTTGGTCTTGATTGAAGGTTCAAGAATATCACAATAGCACCATATCAAACTAACGTAAAACATACTTCATGCATCTGTAGCTATATAAACTGTATATGTATATATGTTAATGAATAGATATGAAATTTAGGGTTCAATACACAAGTGTTGAATATATTTCAAGTTCACAGAAATAACTACTGCCACAGTTCAGTTGAGAATACAGAATGAGTGGTTCAATATTCAAAACTGACTGATTGTGGTGTCTCATGACTGCTTGTATGTCATCAGTTAAAATCTCAACAGTCAAACCCTTCACAGTGCATAGCGCATTTTAATTTTGCATGCCTGCAATTAACACTTGGTGTGTGTGTGTGTGTGTGTGTGCACTGTACAGCACTGCACTACGGTTTGCTCATCACCAAGTCTTTACACCGCATTTACAAAGCTTCACTCTGTTCTGATTCTATAGGTAGCGTTTAGCGCTCCAAATTCAAACAGCACAGTATTACAGTTCACAACCATTATATAAGGCAGATTAATAAAAGTACTCTTGAGTACTCTTGAGTCACCCTATGTTCATTACAGGCCTTCGTATCGTACATAGCTATGTCGTAGCATGCCATACTAAAGCCAAAATTGCAGCAAAAGTAACACAAAAAAAAAAAAAAAAGTTTAACAAACATTCTTTGGTTGAGTGTGAAAGAAGCATTCCTGTGCTTTAATTTAATGCTTTAAATTTGGCATTTTGTTAAAAAGAACACAAAAAAGTGGACCTTTTGCAATGATACACTGGCTTAAATACAGGCAAAAGAGTGGTGGCTTTAACCTAAACTACAATATTTAATCCTCGCAAAATAATATAAAAAAATCTAGTGATAAAAAGCTCGCTCTGACTGATTGTACACAAATACTACTTTCTCTTACCAGGTTGCCTAGGCAACCCTCCCTTCCTCCCTCCCTCCCTCCCAGTGGCCTTCCCATCTCCTTTCACTTCTTCTTGGCAAAGCGGCTGAACTTCTTCTCCTTTTCTTTCTTGGCAGAGCTGGGCTCAGGGAGGGCAGTTGAGGAGGAGGGAGCGGGCAGGCTGTGGGCTTTGGCCCCTGAGGGCCCCGACGCCTCCTCCGCTGCCAGGGGCTGAACGGCCTTCTCCATGGCTTGGCTCCAACGTTGGAGCTCCTCCTGAAATTAAACACAAGAACACACACACACACACACCACAGCGGCTTACAAAGGGAAGTCCACCTCCAGAGGGGCAGTGTGTGTTTTTGTCTCCTGGTCTATTTGAGTAAATTAACTCAAAGTGGAGTTGGTCATGCATTCAGCAATCAAACTTTAAAAAACGGTGTTTGTGAAACTAAATCAACCTGAAAACAACCTCGCTGTGAATTATTCACAGAATTATTTTGCTACATTTAATGATCCCCGTAGGGTAAATCTCTTGCTAGCTGATGGTGAAACAAAGAAATATGAATGACCTTGTTAATATCAGCTACTTACTTAAATAACCTTCCCTGATTACTTAGACATGGGAAGACACATTAAACTTAAACAGCTTATAAATGAAATATGTATGTAGTGCACGCAGCATTACAACCTGTGACCACCTCTTTACATAGGGTCAAAGATCATATAGTACATGCCAGAACAAGTGGAGAACATTTAGTCTCATGTGATTCATGGAAAGTGGTTCAAACTTATTCTCCTTTAGCGGTTCAAAACTTACCTCGTCTTTACATTGGAACAAATATTCACTGCCGTCTCCGAGACTGAAAGAGAGAAAGGAAAGTGAACATTTATTGTGTGGGGAATCTAGTGGTTGTTTTATACTTTATTTTGACAATTAGAATAAAATAAAGTGTAAAAAAGTTTCCCCAAAACATATTTTTAATCAATCCAAGCAACTGAACTCTAACTTTGTACACATTTTTTGTCTTTTAGCGACTATGTGAGTGCAGTTACAGTCGGGCTGTTGAAGCTTAGCATACAGATTGGAAACGGGGATGCAGCTAATCACATTAATTAACACGTTACATCTCACCTGTTTAATACAGAAACCAAAACAACAGAATTATGGTTTTATGTGGCCTTATGAGCAGGACTATTTCCTGGCTGGGAGCAATGACTTCCTGGAGTCTCTGCTTGGAAACTTCACAGTTTACAGGAAGTCACTGCACCCGGCCACTAATGATAACAAACTTAGTGCCTTTCTTACACAAAATAAAAAAGAAATAGTCCGGCACATATTGGCCGATAAGACCACATTTGATTCTCATTTATCTCCCGGAAAGAAAGCGAACACATTCCTAAAACTACTCCTTTAATAGTGACACCATAGACATGTTCACAGCAGCCATGTTGACATGAAACCGCAGGGTGTTACCAGTGATACTAATTAAGGTTCCGTTCCTTTAATGTCAAACAGAGTCAGAGTGCAGCTATTTTGCATGTTGGCTCACTGGAAGTCTCTGCTACACTAAATGGAATAAACGCTGAATTAGTATCATTAGCAACACCTGTGATTACCCTACTATTTCATGTCAAAGTGGCTGCTGTGAAAAAAGGTCTATTACGAAAACCTGAAGATGGATAGGACTCTCACCGTAGTTTGGAGACGTGCTTCTTTTTCTTGTAGTTGGTAAGGATCTCCCAGCTGGCGTTACTGAGGGACAGGGGGATCTCGCCGTGGTACGTCACCCCGTGGCCAAAACTCTTGGCGTCCTTATAGGCAGAGAGCTGACCAGGCTTCAGCACACAGTACAAGTTGTTCCATGACCTGAGAGAAAGAGGAAGAGTTGAAAATGGAGGACTTAACTATTGATCATTTCAGGTGGCTAATGTGTGGCAATAATGCAGAATCAATTTAATTTAATCCCAATTACAAGAGCCACAACAACATCACTGCTTCATTAAGACTTCATTTAGTTCATTAGAAATAAGAAGCACAGTTGCTCACTGCTCTGGAACAACAATTTTTTTTTATCAAGAACACTGCCAGATCCTTTTTAATAAAAAAAAAGCAATCACAAAGTATAAGTAAAACAAAACGTTTGGTCTCT